TTTCTCATTACCCTAGAACTGGAGACACTCTGAATGGTATTCTTTCTCTTTATAATAACCAATATTCATATTTGCCTGCCTGGCCTCTCACTGTGACTTGTAAGCTATTTCAAAGAGCTCAATAATTACAGTGATGCTACAGAACTATTATGCCTTGGGTGGGACTGATATTTTTCAAAAGGAATAAATGAGTTATGATAAGGCTATCAATTACATCCAGAGAGGGTAGTAAAATGCAAATAATTGTCTCATTGTGTTTAGTGGCTAATTTAATATCCCAAGCTATTTTATTGATTCAGCTTAGAAAGATGTGGCTCGGGCAGTGTGTACCTTCGTGCAATGACACCCTGGATACAGAAACCACTCCCTGCACTTGTCTGGAGCCACATCTCAGGGCTGGGCTGCAGAGACAATGCCTGGAGATTCAGGTTTCCTGTTCAGGGTATGCTCTCTCATGTGAAGGAGGGGTGTTTCTCTATTTTGTACAAAGAGCTGTTCATCAGAAACTGAAACAGAACCAGAAATCTAAGTTCCTCCAGCCAGTCTGTCAAAATTCAATGGTCCAGGTTCAGAAAAGGCTCAGTCAAGAAAACTTCATATTTTGAGGGTACAAACTATCCCTGATAATTCACAAACACCAACGGTGCTATATTCTTTATCTAAAACAACCCGTTCTGATTTACCAAGGAAATATACACACATTAAAAATGTTTAAATACTGCTTAAATAAACTATGACTTTAAAAATCTGAAAGTTTTCCAAAGTCACTGTATGCTTCAAGTCTTAGCTTAAAAAAAAAAAACAAACAAACAAACAAAAAGAAACAAACCAAAAAACAAAAAACAAAGAAAACAAAAAGCCAAACAAAACCCCATGTTAATCCATACCATCCATCTTGAAGATTCCTCTCTGTCCATGCCTGGTGGGGAGTAGTGGGAAAATCAGTGCTTTTGGCTTTGCTGGTAGTGCTTCAGGAGGTCAAAGGAGTGCATGTTCCATCGCTGTGTTTATGCCAGAAAGTTATATCACCTCCTGCTGCCTCACAGGGCACCCCCTTGATTGGGACAGCCAGCCTTTAAATTCAGTTTCTCAGCCCACAGAACTAAATATTTATTTGTGGGCAGTCTTACAGTTGTCACAGCGAGATTAAGGTTTGTCCAGCTGATGGGATCCCAGTTTTATCTTCCTACCAGTTATGAAAGGGTAAGAGGAATGGTTGGGGCAGTTTTGGATTTATTTCCAGAGCTCTAATCTAAAACACAGTCTGCAGCTGGGGAGAGAGTACTCAACCCAAATGATCAGACCAGCTGCTTTCCTGGAAAATATTTGAAACCATGGCTCTACCTGCTGGAGCAGTGGGAAATGACACTGCACCAAGAGGCTGCCTGGAGAAACATCCTCCTTTGTATCATGTATTTCCCTCCAGGATCCACAATTTAGCTTCTGTCTGTAATGGCAGGAAATTTCAGTACATTTTTGGGGTTGTGTGGCATGAGACTGGAGATCTGTCTGTCCCTTTGCCTGCTGGAAATTTGTGTGCTGGGCTACAAACTGGCCTTTCTCAAGAGAACTAAATGGGGGCACCAGTTAATTAATACCATGACCTGCTCTGGTTTTAATCTCCTCTGAAGTCTCTGGTACTGGCTGATTAAGATGAACTTAGTCACTGGCCTATTTTCTGATGAATAATAAACTTAAAAAAAAAAATAGGTAGATGGCTCATGGATAACATTTTCACGAGCACCCAGGTGAGTTAGGCACTTCTGAACACTGCAAACAGCACCACGAGGTTTCTGTGAAGGCAACAACAGCCAAGAGTCAAAGTGAGACCTTGGAGGTTTATAGAGTATATGGATTTACAGTGGTTGTTTAATATTTTGTTGATTTGCTTTGATTTTGTTTGTGCATTGGTTTTTGGAAAAGCTTTGTACTTCATATCAGTCAGGTTAAATTTAGCCCTGTTATAGAGTGACTTTTCTCCAGAATTTATGCTATATTTTTATTTCTATAGCGCTTCCATCTAATATTCTCAGTTCTGCTTTGATAACATTAACAAGCTAAGCCATACTGTTGATGCAATCGTTTCTATTATTCTGTTTCTGCTGCACAGATCACTAGCAGTATCTTCCAGAGCTGGCCAAAACCAGTCAGTTATTTCACAAAGAACTGATGAGAAAATAGATTTTAAAAATATCTTCAAGTCATTTGTGTGGCTTTGTTAAAATATATTTTGGTTCTACAAACTTATTTTCTGTTCCAAATGCTTATACTTGTAATCAGCATCATTTATGAGAGTGCAGGAGATCTTTAATAGGACACTTTTTGGTTTATATTTCTTGAAAGAAACAGAAATTAATTTGCTGCTGCTCTTCCTATTTTGTCCTTTGTCAAAACAACTGTAACATTACAACTAGAATTTGAGAAAATGTTTAAAAAGACAAGAAGGGGAGCATCTATGAACAAAACCATTTAAAGATCCTCATTTGTGTTGTGACAAAGAGCAGAAGAGGAAATGGTTGCCTGGTCCATGCAGCACTGGGCAGAGTGACCGGGTCACTGGGACAGTGCTGAGCTCAACAAATCTGTTCCACAGATAGCTCTCCCAAGACCTGCAAGGTTGGCTTCACTTGCTGAGAGAGAACCTCCAAGAATCTTTTAGAAACATCTCTCTGGTTTGTTTTTTTTTTTTTTTTTTTTGCTTCTGCTTCCCCTTGGGTGTATATGCATATAGAATTGGAGCAATACTGCACATACAATGTATGACTGGTCTCTGCCAATTTCAACTGCAGCATCCTTGGAGGGGCATAAAAAGTGATCTTAAAAATATCCTGAGGGAAAAGAATCCTTTTTTTTTTTTGTTAAGATCATTCAGAAATTAAAAAATAAAATTTCCAGATAGAACAAGTTATTCAATTTTCATAATTGTATTCAAAATTATTGAAACTTTTGGCTCTCAGTCTTTTCCACTGGAAGACTCTTCTTGTCTTGAAAGTAGGAATTCCAATATGAAGAAAACATGTTACTGCAGCATGAAAGAGAGGTGTAAAATGGTACCTGTCCATGGTTCTCCCTACCTCAACTTCAGTGGCAGCAATTTAAGAAAAAATAAAGGAATTTTTTGGGAAGTAGTCTATTAGAGTGGAAACTAATTGTCTGATTGCCACAGAAGCTAATAACAGGAAAGGGCTGTTTTGTTTTCCTTGGTCATCTGAAACTGCAGATGCCTTCAGACATCTTTATTGCTCTAAAGGAAGCAATAATGATAATTTGAGGGTGAATGGATAATATCACTCATGGCTGTAAAGCTGCAAAGCTCCCAGGATAAAGACACATAAATAAACACGTGGAAATGGAGATGGTAAGATCTCAGTTTGCAAGCTGGGAAAGGAAGCATGCTGATAAACCCATCTGGGGTACGAGTAGGATACACCAATTTATATTTTAAAAACTCTGTGCATATGGTGAGATTACCAAGAAAGAAAACCACAGATCTTTGGGATCAAAACCACTGAATATTGCAGGTCTTCAATAACATCAAGTGCCAGAATTTTTGAAACTTTTGGAAGCCAACTAACCAAAAAAAATCCATTTTCTCTGGTCAAAAGCATTTCAATAAAAGTTAAGTATCTGATCATGTCCAGTGCTCAGGGACACACTACTGCCTTAATTTTTTGTTGTAAATGGGAACTTTTCAAGTGAATATGGGAGTATAGGTGGGATCAGTACTGCCTGCTGGGGTTCTGACCATAACCAAGGTTCAATATGTCTGTTTTCATAATGCCACTTCTCCATGTTAGCCAGTACAATCTCACAAATTGGTAAGGGGAAAACCTAAACAAATGCAGACAGAAGGCAGCTTGGAAAACACCCTTTAAGATGGGAACCATGTTCTCAGAAAGCTTCATGCTGGCCTTAGACCTGTTCAAGTTCATGACTGAGTCCTCTGAAACTCCTGTGCATCAGCTAAGCATGATGGAAATTAATGTGTAGGTGGAAACACCTTACCAGCCACGGGAGGTGTCAGACATGGGAGCTGAGCTGTGTTCTACATCTTTGTTTGCACATAACAGCACTATTCTCTGAGGAAAAAAAAAAAAAAAAGAAAATAAAAGAAAAAAAGCTTTCATTTCTTTTCAAGGCATTTTGAGCAGGTTATTTTGAAGCAGCTGCAAGATTGCCTGGGGTGTCTGTTTCAACATTGCTGAAATTTCAATGCCTCACATTAGAATTAAAAGTGACCCTCCATTATTGAGGAGTCAAGGACTGGAATAGGAAATTAAAGAGTTCCCCTCTCTGCTAGCAGGGAAACATGCTTTCTCATTTAGAGGAAACAGAAGGAGGGAATTGAGTTTCCATAGTGATTCATGAGGAAAGGACATGGTTACCTGGAAACAGGACTGCTCCCATCCACTGAAAAAGCCTTTCTTGTGTTTATTTATTGGTGAGAGATCAAAGCCAGCCAGCTCTTCACTCACGCAGGAGTTGGGAGGTTGGACCCAGAGCAGGTGCTCTGGATCTGATTTCAGCACAAGCAAATAGAGGGAGACACCAAAAACTCACAGCAGATTCTCCACCAGCTAGAAATTACTATTTCTGTTTGTAAATCGAGTCTTTATTGTCGAGGGCTTCAGGAAAGTGGTCACTAATTTGGAATGACTGCTGCAGTCACTGCCATCTGTGGCTGCGTCAGAGCCATGACAGCATTTCATGCAGCCAGGCAGCTGGACCTGGGCAGGAAAATCTGTCTTCAGCCTTTCAGTTGTACTCTACAGATATTTACAGAGTCCACACTTCCAGCCCTTCCTTCCTTGCACCAGGGGCTTGGTGGGTCCTTCACTCCTCCGAGCAGAGGAATCAAGTAGTCAAGATTTTGAAAGATGCCACTGGGGATCTAAGGGAATAACTGGAACTTCTTGTTGCAAGTACTACCCAAGCATGTGAGTCAATGCAGGCAGGCAGCCAGAACAACCACAAAACTGCATCTCAAACAAAGTTCATCTCTTAACAAAAGTCAATATATTTCATTACCTCTGTCACCAAAGAATCCCAAAGCAGCACCTGAGTGGAGACACACAAGTGAGAATGCTGGCACTGTTGGGTTCAGTCCATCCCAGCTGTTGGCACCCATTTACCAAGGACGAGTTGTTTTCCACCATGTGGTGACCTCCCTGTTCTTGTTACTCTCTGAGCTTTGATCTCCTCTCCCCTGAAACAGAGGGCTCGGGCATGTCTGTGAGGGGGCCCCTGAGCCTCTCCAAACACCTACATTAGGTCTACCCAGAGATTCTGGTTCTCAAAGCAGCCAGAGTCTGAACAGCAATCGGCACAATGGATGGGGCTTCCTACACTGTTATCCTCAAGGTCCTGGCTTTCCCAGCTGCAAGATGACTCAGAAAATCTACTATAGTCCTCAACAGTCTTCCAGTTTTACCCGTTCCCTTGAGCATGATTACCTTCACAAAGGATTTCATTCAAAGCACAGAAATATTTCTAGAGATCTTGGCAAGTCTGCTAGCTTGTCCAAGAAAAAATGGGTTTATAGGTAAACCTCTCGTCTATACCTCAGCTTCCAGCTTTTTTTTTTTTTTTTTTTTTTTTTTTTTGACTGTGCTCAGGCACAGTCCTTGCAACTTGGTGTATTTAGGGAATTTCCTTCCTCTGTTAGAGAAAATAAACCATGCTGCTTTTCAGAATAAAGTCCTTCTTTTGGAACAAAATAATAAAAAAAAAAAAAGTGAAGGATCAGGCAGATACCTATTTCCATAGACTCCTTCTAAAAAAGCTGCAGACAAGAAGTGAAATTAGAACTGCAGACATAAACCTCTGGTCAGTCACACAAAGGGTCATCAGAACACTCTGGAGGGAAAGCACTCAAACACAGTTTGGCTAAAGAAAATAGCAAGGCTCAAAATCTGTGCCTCAAAAGCTTGTTTGGATATTTATTGCTGTGAATTTTAAACTCAAAGGAATGAGTTTGTATCCCTTTTCCAGTGTTATTGCCTAAGCCATGCTTGCAGAGTTGGTTGCTGTGGTACCACCAGATCCAGCATAAGGGGAATCAGAGCTTGGCCATAGGGGGCTGTAGGATCTGATCCCCTCTGCTCACATGAGGGGTGTTTTATCCATGGGCTGTCACAGGAGACCCTAAAAGTCCTTCTAGTTTAGTGTTTCCTTGCAATCCTGCTATCATTTTTTCCAGCATGGCAGTGAAGATATGGAAAGTGGAATAATGACTTTAAGTCTTTTAAACTGGAAAGGAGCAGGAGTACAGGTCCTGCTGTGAGTGCTTCACCTGTAGTGTGATGGATTGGCACCCAGATTCTGTGCCTTCAAAGAAAGGTCAAACCCTTTATCAACATTCAAAGTGAGAGGCACTGGAGAAAATTATATGTTGTGTATCCTGCCCTTACCCAGGTACTTATCTCTGAATATTCATCTGTGCCCATATCTGAGGAGAGAAAGGATTTTACACATGTCCCTCTTGAAGGTGTTGCCAATTAGTTTTCTGCAGGGCCTGTCACAGAATGTGCTGTTTATCCTGAATCCTAGGCATGCACTTGCTTCATTCTCCTGAGTCCTTACACGGGGAAGTTCATCTCTTAACACAGACTTGGTAATTCCTTCTGCAGCCAGGCACCAAAAATCCCTGCTCAGAGCCAGCTTTAAACTTATATGCTGCAAAACTGAGAAGGTGGATGTCTCTGCTTTGTCTCAAAGGTACCAATCTGCAATATCTTTCTTGACCATATTTCTAGCCTCCAGCACGTATTCTGCCTTGCTTCTGGCAGGTATTTCTTTCCCATATCAACCTAAAGAATAAGAGGGGTGCAGTGAAAGATCCTGGCTGAGATCTGAGGAATGCTCAAACCTGAGAGTGCTATTGCCATTTTATGACCAATACAAAGATAAAGTGGTAGTTAGGCACCTACAAATGCCTAATTCATCTTTTGGATCCCAGTAAAATCCTCAAAAATTCAGCTTAATATCTGTATTTCTTCTATTTATACAAACACCTCCACAAATCATAGAAAAGATCCCCTTGCTCTTTCTCTCGCTCTCTCTCTGTTCATTAATCAATAGGGAAAAAAATAGAAAAAAAACTCTCCAGGGCCCCATTAGTAAGTTAGGATTCTGAACAGAGATAAAATATGCCTTCTGCATTTCATCCCTAACTCCTGGGTTTTTGTTTGGCTATTGCTTAGGGATCAAGTAATTAAGTTGTTTTCACATCTCCACGGAGACCCTAACTCAGGGTAAGTATTCAATAAAAGCATGGCAGTAATGAAGGCCCAAGAATTTTGAAGCCTCGGGGACAGGGTGATTTAGAAGGTAATTTACACTTCCCACAGAAGTGTAGTCAAAGAAGAGGCAGTTGCACCTGTGCCTATAATCCCACTGTGCCACGTACTCCCAGCGTGAGTTCCCAGTCCTGACCTGTTACACTGGTTACCAGTTGCTTGTAGAAACATAAATGTGCGGCCCAGAGCTTGACACATGCTGGTTTTCTTTATGATACTCAGTTTAGCCATAGGAGAACAGCAAAGTTCTTGAAAAGTGGTGACCCATAATTCACTGGTCTTCAGAGAAAAAGCTTGGCCCTGAGAAATGGGAGAAAAAATGGTTTCACTTAAGGAAAGAAGCAGCAGCTAAGAAAATGGGGGTGAAAAAAGGCAGCAGCAGGGCAAGGCACCTTTGCACCCTACCACCCTACCACCACCACCAAGCATCACTCAGTGTGTTGTTAGAGAGAGAAGCCAAGCACTGGAAATCTTCTTGTAAAGGATCTGCTTGTAAAGGGATAAGATCCCAGATTTGAACATGGTCTACATCTACATGGTCTCATCTCATTGGAGGAAATATGCAGGGTCATCTTGTGTTTTTCAGAGTATTCTCATTCTCTAGGAGCCAGGACATGCAGACTGTGCTTAACATTAACTTTAATGTCATTTCTTGGTTCAGTTAAATGAGGAAAAAAGGTAAGCCTGTGATTGTGAGCTGATTTCATCTGAGAGACTGTTCGCCTCAGGTACTAAATCCAGAATCAGCCTTAATTCAATATCTTCTCTTTGATAGCTGATTTTGAAATCCTTCTGAAACAGAAAAACAGAAGTATCTATCTGCTGTATAATGAAGAAAACTAATCAGATTGAGCTCTGAAGCACTATTAACTTATTGCTCTATAACACAGTTTTCTGGTAGTTTACAAGAGCTCCTTTATACTATAATTACTTACTTCTTTGTTTGTTTATAAAAAAAACTTCACCACACAATATGTTTCAGACATATTCTTATGGCAATCCCTTTCCTAGAATGACTTTATGCTCCAAAACAGAAATATTTCCATTTATCTACTTAAAAGATATGCTTAAGTGCAAACCTTCCACAATTCTTTTTCTTTTGGCAGAGATAAAAAAGTTTTTAAGTTGAGTACCAACAGTCCTTATTCATATTTATAGATATTGTTATGTATTTATTTGTAGATGTGTATTTGTGCCTTAGGAAATTAGTCTCTAAATAGTTCCTTTAGTACCCTAATATGCTTAAAAACCTTGTTAACCTCCCATCACAGTAAACAAAGGATATTATTTTCTTTAAATAATTTTGCTTCCAGTATCACCCAAAAAGAGAACACTGTGAGATGTGCTACTCCTAGTGTGTTTCTGCACTCTTCCAGAGTCACTGCAACTCAGTGATAAGGATGCCATTTATTTTTAATTTATTCAGTTGACTGTTGAGTCATAGCTGAGGTTTGATTTTTCTTCCAGTGAGGCAAATTGGCAGGGATTAGAAAAACACAGGTTCTTAGAAAAATAAGTAACCCCAAGAACTTTGACAATTTCTTCAGGCCCCACCACCACTACTGCTAAGTGTGTTAACTGCAATAACCGTGTCTGAAAGCTTTGGGCAGGTACAGCCACAGAAGTCATTACTGTCACTCAGACCCTTTAGCACAAGACAAATTGTGTGTGCATCAGTTCCTGAAGGTGTTATCTGCTAATCGATTCCCTCAGCATCATGTCAAGGCTTTCAGTTTAGTCCCCAGTCCCTCGTTCTTTTCATATCAGGCAGCAGCACAGCACGGGGGCTGCAGAGAGGATGTGTATGGAGCAGAGTGCATGGGGTACAAAAGGGCACCACAGATGTCTGAGCACAGGAAAATGGAATTTATTCTTTCAGCTGGTGGCTAATGGAGAAAAAAAAATGGAATATTTGTCTCTGACTGAATAGAAGAACACAAAGAAACTTGAGGTAAAAATGTCCAAATCTCGGAGGTGTTTCACAAAGAAATAGAAAGACATTTTGCAAGAGGTCTTACTGTTGAGGTAGTCCAGTGTCAGAATCTGTGGTATTGATGATTCCGAGATTGTAGAAAGTCTCTTTCTGCCCCATTGCCAAAGAAGAAGCCATAATTCATCTGTGCTGTTTACAAGATTCAATTCTTGCTTATCTCTAACATGTTCTGCTGCCCTGCCGCAGCTCTGTCCTGTAGGGCAGCGTGTGGGGCTCTGCCCTCAGTGGGATGTTACAAACATTAAATACCAGAAACTACCTGTGCTATATTTACAATAATGTGCCAATATCTGTCACCTACGTTGAACAGTGTGTCCCCAGCCCAAACCAACAGAAAAATGCCAACACTACAGTGAAACATGGAGGGCATGAAGAAGGAGAAAAAGGACAAGACACACCCAATTTCCTCCATCTTGTCCCCTTTGAACCCCTAATCTAGAATCCTAAAATTTTACTTTTGCACCCATGCCACACTTAATTATTACTTATATCAAACACTCAGAGCTTGTAATTCATCCTGTAAGATTGAAAACTCTTTCCCACAGACAGAGATCAGAGACAGTGTCTCTGGGGGCTCTGTACAGGGGGGTTCCTGACCTCCTACCAAAGTCCCAAACCTTCCAAAGCAGCCAGAGGGGTGCCCTAGACTCCCACAGGATTCTAGGGTTCTCTCTGCAATATCTTCTTCATCTCCAGCCATCAATTTTGCTGAGTGCTGATTCCTCTTTCCTCAGCAACATCCCCACTATTTGTATTGACTCATGAGACATCAAATCAGCAGCTGCTGCAGCAGACTGAATAATTAGAGCAGCATAAACAGGTACTTCCTCCCTGATCCATATTTATGGAACAGTCAATCTTCAGTCCTCCTTAAAAGGCTTCTGTTCCTAAGCCCAAGGGATTACAGTGCCTGCACTGCCTTCAGAGTTTCGTGGACTTTGCCAACATTCACTTTGTGGGCTCAACCTAGTCCTGACAAAGCTCCTTACACTTTGAACCCCAAAGTGATCTTTTACTCCCACTTTGATGTGGGCAGCTTCTGCCTTGAACTGCTGTGGTTGTGTCATAGGGAGGCACACCTCCAAGTATCTGCTCATGGAGATGTGCTGCACAACAGAGCAGCTGCAGCAAAGCCAGGATCTACACCTGTAGTGAGGTGAGCAGGGTAGGATGGTCCAAGATTTGCTGGAAACCACAGTGTATTTTAGGTGTTTATCTGCTGCTTTCTGCTCTGAACCTGAATTCCATGCTTCTTGCAAGCGCTGGTAACACCCCTAAGCTCCATTACCTCTTTACAGACAGGATGCAAACAAGAATAATGTCAGATCAGCAGTGGCCATTAGCACATTGCTTATGCCTTCCTGCATTTTTCCTTACACAGAGATAGCTGGGTTTGTTCCTCTTTCCCAGCTTTGTCTGAGCACAGTGCAAACCAGCGTGTCACAGAATTATCAAAAGGCAGTCAGGATTTGTTGAGTGGTCACCGATCTTTTATAGTATAGCAACTTTATGGTTCTTCCTGTCCTGAAAATTCTGAATAAATATTAACTAAGGAAAGTTTATTTTTTACAGTGCAATAAGCCAGAAGCAGAGGGGCAGGCCCTGATCTCTGCTCTGTGTGACCAGGGACAGGACCTGAGGGAATGACTGGAGCTGGGTCAGGGGAGGGTTAGGGTGGATATCAGGAAACATTTCTTCCCCCACAGGGTCATGGGACACTGAACGGGCTCCCCAGGGAATGGTCACAGCCCCAAGGCTGCCAGAGCTCCAGGAGCGTTTGGACAATGATCTCAGGCATGGGTTGGGATTGTTGGGGTGTTTTGTGCAGGGGGAGGAGATGGACTGGATGATCATTGTGGGCCCCTTCTAGCTCAGGATATTCTGTGATACATGATTTTGATAAATTGTCCTCATGAGCACAGTTTTCTGCTTTTGTTATTCACATAATTTACAGCTCCCCGATGAGCAGACTGCTATAAGCAATGAAAGAAAAGATGCTCAAGTGTGCTGTGTAAGTGTTGCACAAAAAGAAGGGGGGGTGGGGAAGGGAAGCTGAAAAAATATCCAAATGTAATCAGAACAGAGTGGTGGTTTTGACATGGTATCAGTAACTCTTATTTGAGAAGATATTCAGATGTAATCAGGCTCCATGCCACAGAGAATCAGAAGTAATAACTGATGCAAATGTTTGCAGGTTGGGGATGTAATGTTCTCAGGGTCTCCTTTGTCTGTCAAGTGTGAGGACAGCCTCAGAGAGCTGGCAAAGGCTTTGAAAGGTCAGAGTACTCTGGTGATAATAACTACCTACTTGCAACTGATGAACTTCCCTTCCTACTTGTTGTGTATGAGTTTATTTTCCTTATGATCCATTTAGCCCCACCACTTTCTGTAAAATACCTGCACTGGTTAAATACAGAGCTAGAACATTGCTCAAAAGCTTGTTTATGTGGGGCTGATTTCAAGGACTGGATTTGTGATTGCACTCAAATCTGCCCACTAAAGCACTGATGACCCCAAGTCATTATTGGAGCCTCTGTGGTCTCACACCTGACACTTGTGACTCTCAATCACTTCCAGAGAGCAAAATACTGTCATTAAATGGTTTCAAAGATTTTAATTTGATGACATTTTTACAGATGTAAAATCTACAATAAAAATAAATGTGAAGAAGCAAACTTCACATTCTGTTTATCACATTATTTGGGGCTTTTGGCAGGTTCAGTTCTGCTCCATCCCGTCCTGGTAGCAGCTGTGATTTAGGAGAGCCTAAAATCCCAAGAGAAATCAGGGCCCCTCCGTTGATTCCAGCCTATCAAAATATTGACAGGTCAAGTAATAAACACAGAAACCACATATTCCTTATTCTGCTGCTTATATAATGATTGTTTAACATGCTCTTTTGACCATTCCCACTAGCACTGCTGCATCACCTTCATTCCTCTAAAGTGATGTTAAATAAAGTGAAGGAGATGAAAGCGAATTATGAGAGGCAGAACAAGAAAGTGAAAGAAAGAAGAATCAATTAACTTAAGTAATGGATGACAAATAGGAGTAAAAAAGAATCTTCACAATTGCAAGGGATAATTGCAAAATTCAGAAAGAGGAATAATGAGGGTACTAGACCTTGCAAAATATGATTATGTTGCTCTAATCTAGAGAAAGCAAACAACAATAGAACTTGAAAAGTAAGGGTCAGATTATGACTTTGGCCTTCTACCACAGAGTTCTGCAGGAAAGGACATGGAACTGGGCAAGAGAAGACACTGGCAAAACCTCCTGGAGCTGCTGTTGGTTTCCTGGGAGAGATGAAGTAAGTCCTTTACCTTTTTACCAAATGGATTTCCTAAGAAAAGGAAGTGTGCGCACCTCTGTTCCCTTTGCCTGATACCTCAGCAATTTCCTTGGCCATTTTCCAGCACAGTGACAGAGAGGAGACTGGAAAGATGCTGCACCCCCTAAAGTTTTATGAAGGTAGTTGTGCTGTGTTAAAGAAAATCCTACCACTCCAGCCTCTGACTTAATACCCAAGTGTGATTTTGATGCCAGAGAAGAAATCAGGTATTACAGACAGATGTTAAGGAGGGGCCATCCACAGAAGTATTTTTTCTTTCTATTTTAATTTTCATCCGCCTGTCCTTCTTATCTAGATTTTGAGTCCACTGAGAAACCTGACTGCTGTTTTATCTGTAGACCACAGTGTTGCTGGGAGCCCCATCTGCCCAGATCCCATGATGCATCTCATAACACAAAACTATGTTCACCTCACCCAAGAAGTAAGAGTATAACTTCACTAAAAAATAACATTTTTTATAGAAAACACACAACAAACAAACACACCAATACCTTGGAGTGAGAAACAGAAAGAATACTACGTATCATGAGTGAGACTGTCTCCCAAATTCATTTCACAGATGTGGCAATTGTGTCCAAATAATTTAGCACACCTTGAAAGCCTGGTGACCTGCCTGCTCCATGACTTCATCCACAGTGCTCAGTGTTGTGCTATTGTAAAAACTGAGCGAAAAATCAAATTGATAAGTCTGTCCTTATTAGAATTAAACAGCCATCCCTGGAGGTAATCGAAGGGCTGGTATGGGCATTCTGCATTTCCTTCATAGATTCAGGAACTGGGTTAGTGCTAGAGTGCTCTAAGGACAATTTTGAAAAACAAAACAGATTAATTGAAAGATAAGGAAGTGATTGATTAAGAAGAGAAGTTCACCTTTATCATAATTTTATGATTTCCCTGTTCATTTAGTACAAATTTGAACACTGACTAATAAATCACACTGCTGCTAAGTCAGATGATTTTAGCATTAATTAATTCACTGTAAAGTTGTATCTACTTCAATTTTAATGAAATTCAACTCAGAATCAAGTGAATATTTTTTACTGAAGCCTTCTCATGGCACTAGCGGGAGCAAGAAGTTCCCTAGGTTTCTTTGTTTATTTTTAAGAGAAAGTTCTTGAGTTGTATTGAAAACATAGTGCATTGTTTATAAGTCCAGCTGAAGGAAATAATTTCAGGAAATACCATTAAAAAATTCCTCATAATCCTGAAAAAATTTCAACATAAGTATTACGTAAGACAGCACTGATCTTCAGCTGTGCAAAATCTCTCCTTAATCATAGGAAGATAATTTTAGAAAAGATTTTTATTTTGATAGAGGAAACATTTTAGTATTCACCTTTAAACAACTCAGTTCAGTTTTCAATTCTCATAAAACTAATTTTTACTGAAAGAAAAGAATTTGTAATTTTGAGAATATGTTGTTTGTTCCTCTGTAGGAGAGAAGTTGAGCATTTGCCTAAACTGCAAAGCTCTTCTGTAGCTGAATTGTAGAACTGCAAAATATCCCATTTAAATGTAGAAACAAATCAAGGGTATCATCACACAGAAGAGAAAGAGGGTTAATAGTTTGCCATGAAGCACTTTGGAATGTCTAAACTGGATGAGTTTGACATCTACTGTGTGATATCATTAAGCACAGAGTTATTGCAGGATTATTTGATTTAAAAGTTCTCACTGCACTATTTAGCTTTCCATAAAATAATTTATATGGATAAATTGAAGGCAAAGACTACCCATATTGTTGCCATAAAACACTGGATCCCCTTAGCAAATCCACTACACAGCTGAACATTAAAGTTCTGTCTTTGAACAGGATCAGTGAATGAACTTTTCGATTGTTTGCCATAAATTGAAAGATTCAGCAACTAAATGAAATTGATGTCATTTAGCTGCTACCTTTTTTACACATTTATTCTGAACCATGAAAATAATTGTTTCTGGGTAAGCTTCATTGAGGTGAAAGCAAAACTGCCTCTCCCATTTTTTCCCCTATCCATCAAAATACACATGCATGGCAAATTAAAAGTGCTATGCTTCACATTCTTGGAGTTAATATGGCTTTAGTGGATGTCACAGTAAATAGTGAATGCACATAAATCCTGTTTTGTTCTAAAGGTGTTTAGCAGAAGAAAATTGAGTGTTTTACAGAGGAAATTTTTACAGGGAGCTTGATTTGGGGCAATTCAAATAACTCTAAGGAAAAGATTCGAGTGAAAGAATGTGGCAGAGCTATGCAGCTATCAGGCCTTTTGCTGTCAACTTTAGTAATTACAAAAAGCTTCCTTTCTCCTTACTGCTGTCACAAACATGAACCACTGTAAACATAAAGTTAATTTGGCATGTTCTGGGTCATCAGGAGATATTACTCAGCAACACTTTTAGCACTTCAGTGAAATGCACTGAATTTTACTGAGCTTCATTTCTCTGAAGGGCATACAATCACAGAACCATTGGCTTGGAAAAGACCTCCAAGATCACCGAGTCCACCCTGAGACCTATCAATGCCCACCTTGACACCCAGCCAGAGCACTGAGTGCCACATCCAGTTGTTCCTTGGACACTTCCAGAGATGGAGATCCCACCTCTTCCCTGGGCAGCCCCTTCCAATGCCTGAGTACACTTACTATGAAGAAATTCCTCCTGGTGTCCAACCTGGCACAGCTTCAAAGTTTCCCTAGGCTTTAGACAGAAGCAAATCTTTTCGTGTCTTCTACTGGATCAGGCTTTAATTAAAAGGATAAAAATTAATGCAGGAACCTTTTTCTCTCTTCCTCTTACAGCTGTTGTATAAACCCGCCTCCCCATCTCATTAACTGCCTTAAATTACAATATAAATATCAATATTTTAGGGTGGAAGGTTATTATTTTCTCCCTTCCTGACATAAGTAGATTGCATGGTACATCACTGTCCACTGGAAGTACTAATGTTACTGTGGAGGAAATTAATGGCTTAATTCCACTCTCTAAACTTCCAGCTAATTAGCAGAATAGCACTAAGCATTAGTTACCAGCTCTACAGTATTTCTTTGTGGTGTTGCTCACTTTGCTCATTTTCTGTGAAGTCATAGATGCTCCCAAGAATAAACTCTCAGCATCCAAGGGTGTTTAAGAATTTAGCATAATTGCAGGTATTTCAGATTTCATATCAACCAAATTGTTCATTCAAATAATCCTAATCCCAAAATAAACTGTACTTCTGGAAAATGTTTTAGTATATACACACAGCATAGATGCATAATGCAAAAGCTATATTATTCTGTGGTCTCCAAAGAAAATGTGCAATTCCTTTGGATTACACAGAGTATTTAATCAAATACCAAAAGTTCAAAAAACTATATGATATAACTCATAAAGTTACCTTTCTTTGGAGAATACTGTTAATAGTACCTAATAACACAGTTAATTCTCTGGGATTTAACCACGGCATGTTGATTTCTCTTCTTCAGTTCTCCTCCACCTCACTGCTGTCTTTCCAGCATTGCTGTGAGACTTTGAAAGGTAAAAAGGCTTTATAATCTCAGAAAATGTTGCCCAGAATATCCACCATCAAATGTAAGCCCATGTGCATGTTTTTCCTGCCGTGGATGGGACTGGCAAAAGTTCTGCTGAAAAACAATCAGAAAAAAATTCAGTTAAAGTCTGTATAGTTATTGTAGAACCAAAAGGGGTTCAGATCAATTCACATCATCTCCATTTCAAATTGATGTTAAAGCAGGAGAACTGAAACACAAATTTCATCAATTCACATTTTCAAAACTTTTAAATAATTTGATCTCTATAGTGTTTATTTCTTCCATGCCTTATATTTCAAAAATATCAATATGCTTACTTTCTTCTTCTGGTATACTGGATACTATTTTATATAGGGCATTGAATTTTCTCAAGACAGCTGTAAATTTTGGTGCAGAGATGTTTTTTATATATTTTTGTTTACTGCATCTGAACAGAGCATGCATGCTCAGTGGCACACACCAAACTTGACTTTGAATTGTGAAATGGTTTGGGTTGGAAGGGACATTAAAGCCCTTCCCATCCCACCTCTGCCATGGGCAGGGACATCTTCCACTGTCCTAGGTTGCTCAGAGCCCCATCCAACCTGGCCTTGGACACTGCCATGGATGGGGCAGCCACAGCTTCTCTGGGCAACCTGTGCCAGGGCCTCACCAGCATTCTAAAATAAGATTACTAAAATTGCCTGTTTAATTTTATTGTAGCCTTGTGACTGTCAGTGCTCCAGGGCTGAGAGGATAGTTGGAAAACTCCAAGGAAAATAAGCCAGCCTGGGAGGTGACATGGTGGGTCTGTGCTTATTTGTCATCTGCCAGGACCATAATCCAAGTTTTTGTACAGAATCCATTAATTAGAGCTGTAATTAACTGTTCAGTTCACTTTGTTCATGCAGTAGCTTGTAGACTTATAGACAAAAGCCAGTTCCTGAAGACCCAGGGCACTAATTAAGTACACAATGTTTCAAGGAATTAACATCCTACTCAGATATTTTCAGTGACAGTAAGTATATTATGCTTTCACTGCCCTGCCCTAGGGTGTCCTCAGGACATGTTTTTTAAACACTCTTATTCTTGCAATCTGTTTTATCATTTAACCAACACAAATGTCAGGGATTCTTAATAATTTTTTAAAACGAATCTGTAGGAAAACTTGTTCTTCCCAAAGAAGTCGCTCCCAAGTTTCCATGACCCAAACTCTGATCCTTAAAATTAATTATCTGTGTATCAATTTAAACTAATTAGACCTCTTGCCAGAAGAGATTTTTTTTTTTTTTGCAAAGAATTGATGCTGATTGGATCTGTGAAGATTAAAAAACCAGCTAGACATCTTATTGCATACTGACAATTGTCCTTTTGATCTTACACCTTTGCGATTGGTGAATTTAATATTTCAGCTGGCAAAATGCCACTTATGAAGAGTGAGCAGCAAAAAGTGCCAAAACTCCAGCTCTTTTGTCAGTTAAATAACATTAAGGAATGTGCCTTTGGTTTTCCTTATGAATTGACTGCTTTGGTGCTCTTAAGGCAAGGATGGCCATGTTACCTGAGCCAGATGAAAATGAGGAGGAAGACCAACCATGTGCCACTGAGGTAGTGTCTGCTTGCAAACTGACCTATTATTTTACCCTTGGTAAAATGTGGCAGCATAAAGCCCAGTGACAGTAAAAAATATACACCTGCATTTTTAAATGAGCAATAAATTATCACAGGAAATTCTAATCTGGAAGAACAGATCAGATCTATCTTTAAGAGAGTGTCCAACAACAACAGTTAAAATAATTGAGGCAGTAGCAAGATTTCATAATTTCATTTCATTTCTAGTGAGTTAGCTCCTTTAAGCATCATGAAGGAAGGCATTACTTTGTGTCTTTTTGGTAGGAGGTGAGTTTATCCATGTTTTTTTCCTGCTCTTCTGTAGGGAAGCAGAGATTTCTGCATCTTTCCCTCCCTTTTTGGTCAGCAAAGTAGACATTCTGATTTCCAAATGCTTGTGTGAACGTTTATGGGTAATTTTCATGGTTTTGCAGCCTTGGAACGGATATTACAGAATCCCAGGATGGCTCAGGCTGGAAGGGACCACAGTGGGTCACTGGTGCCACCTCCCTGCTCCAGCAGGGCCATCCCAGAGCACAGGGCACAGGATTGTGTCCAGAGGGGTCTGGAATATCCCCAGGGAGGAGACTCCACAGCCTCTCTGGACAATCTGCTCAGTGCTGGGTCACTGCCCAGGACAGAAGTTGTGCCTCCTGCCCAGGTGGAACCTCCTGGGCTCAGTCCCTGCCCGTGGCTCTGGTGCCATTGCTGGGCCCCCAGAGCAGAGCCTGGGCCCTGCTCGGAGCCCTCCCTGCAGCCAGGGACACCCAGGGCTGAGGGCCCCTCTCAGCTGGGGCTCCTCTCCAGCTGCACAGCCCCAGCTCCCTCAGCCTTTCCCTGCCAGGGATGCTCCAGGCCCTGAATCATCTCTGCAGCCTCCGCCGGCCCCGCTGCAGGAGCTCCATGGCCCTGCTGTGCTGAGGGGCCCAGAGCTGGACACAGCCCTGCAGATGTGCCACACAGGCTGGGCAGAGGAGCAGGATCACCCCTGACATGCTGGCACTGCTCTTCCTGATGTCCCCCAGGATCCCATTTGTCTCCTTGCCCCCAGGACACACTGCTGGCTCAGGGACAGCTTTGCTACCTTGTGCCTCAGGCAGATGGGAGCCTTGCTTGCTCCTGGTACTTTCACTGGCAGAATGACTCAAAGGATTCAGGATGCATCACCTTCGTTTTGTCCAGATGCTGTCAAAATTTACAACCAGACCTTCTTGGTTGCTGCCAGCCGGTAGCAAGGTTCTGCCAGGGAGTGTACAAGTTCAGTTTTAAAAATTCTCTCACGTACAGACCATTATCAGCTGCCTGTCAGCATTCATAGTTTAAGTCATCTTCTGTGTAGTGCAGAGATCCAGTCCTGAGAAAAAAATGGTACTCCAGCATACAGAAATTGGCTCTGATCTCTCCCCTTTTGCCTTAAATTTTGACTTGTATCACTATAAATCAGATTCGCAGTGACCTACAATATGACTAGGGCTTCTGTGTAATGCCCTTTTCCCAGCTTTTAATGATAAGAACTCTTCACTAAGAGTTTCTTCACTAAGGCTGTCAGGAATCCCCAGAGCAAAGATGTCTAGGAAGCAGGAGTGTGGCAAGCACATTTCTCTCCCTCTCAGGATTATTCATAGAGGTGCACAGAGAGAAATGAAAGAGAAAACAATTTCTATTTCTGCTCTTTGTTTTTCCTATGTGGAATGTGTTTGGAGAATTGCTTACCTGGAGTGAGTGCTTCGTTGGATCCTGGAGGATTCTTTGAGCCTGATGGCCAATCCAACCCACCTGGGGCTGGACTCTCATGAGAGGGTCATGAGTTGTGGGAGGGTTAGAGATAGAGTCAGAAAAAGTAATAGGTAATTTTAGTATCCTCCTTTTATATAGTATATTAATGTATTTTAGCATAGTTATAATAAAGAAATAATTCAGCCTTCTGAATTGAGTCAGACATTGTCATTTCTTCCCCTGGGGTTCACCTGCATTTACAATACAGGAGAGTCTCCCCGGGGTCAGTCCCTGCCTGGTGGGCTCATGGTGGTGGACTGCATTTTTGGGAAAGCCTTCTTTAAATTTTACAGCATAGGCCTCTTTTTAATGTCAGGTATTATCAAGAATTTGTGTATTAAATTTCTACAAAGAACCAGCTGAATCTGAAAATAATTTGATTTTCTAACTTTCGTTTAGGATCCTGGTGTAACTGACTTTGTTTTGACACAGTTTAAATGCATTGTCTCCCTTTTAGCCTCCATTTTTCAGACTGTCCCAGTTAGAAAAGGGTTCAACTCTGTGCTGTACAATTAATAAATGCTATCCAGTAATAAGCTTCATTCTTCAAATATGATTTCATAACAAATAGGATTGTAATGAAGCAGCAGTCTAATTAATGTTCCTTACCACTTTCCTTTCTTTTTACTTCTTAGAGAAATCAGTAACCTTCAGAACAGAAGAATTTACTACACAAATGAAACAGCAGGAATTTGGAAGGCCTATCTCAAAAGCTTTTTTTTTTAAATTCTCCTCACTGTTCAAAAATGTTAGTGCAGACACATTTCTGCAAGCCACTGAGTACAGAAAAAACATGTGTGCATGTACATTTTAGGGATATACAGCTAATTTGTCTCACTGGAAACATTTGGCTGTCAAGATAACAGAGTTTAAATTTCTCTTGAGGTGTGAGACCTGCCACCTAGCTCTAGCTCATATAGATAGGATTGAAAGATGACCTTGTTTTATGTTGTTTTTTAGATATGTTTATCTTTTATTTAAACATGCTGCATGGGGGAACCTAATCGCCAACAGAGAGAAAACTCCTAAATACATTTTAAACTGTTTCTCCTGCCACTTCTTATAAATCAAACAAATCCTTACTAGAATATACTATAATCTTTAGCACCTCTTCCTATTTTAGTTCATTAGTACAGAAGAATTTGCACTCAGTCCTGATTTTTCTGTTAGTCATTATGGGATCTAAAGATTTGGATAAAAAAAGTCTTCTCAAAGCTTAATAAATGGATGTGAGGACAGGGAAAGTGTGTAGGAAATGTGGCTGGGAAGTTCCTCCAGCAGCTGGCATAGCCACATGGTTGGAAGGTATAGTGAAAATGGGTGGTTTAGGGAAGCTTCCCATTGAATTTATGGCTAGCATGTCACCCATCAGTGTTCAAGAAATCCAGAACATTAATTAAGAACATTAATTACTTACATGTACTGTAATCAGAGAGCTAAAAAATATCAGAGCTCCTCATGCCTGCCCAAGGACAGATGCCATCACTGGGACAGAAAGCTGGAAACATCTTCCTGTTTCCCCAAGTCTAGGAAATGATACTTTAGAATCTCTTTTATATTTAAAATAAATGAGCTTTTTCATGCTTTTCTTTTCCTGGTGTTTTGGTGCTTTTGGGAGGATTTTTTTATTTTTTGTTCCCTTTGGTCCCAATCAATGATTATTGCTGAAGCTCTGTCCTCTGGTTTGGCATGTTGTATTTCTACCAGCAGGAGGGTATCCT